AATGGTTTTCTAATTCATTCCAAAGGTGTTTAGTAGGGTTTAGGTCAGGGGTTTGTGCAAGCCACTCAAGTTCCTTAATACCAAACCTGTCACACCATGGCTTTATGAACCTGGCACAATGCCTGGAAAGGGCACAGTCATGTGGGAACAGAAAAGGACATTCTCCAAACTGTTGCCTCAAAGTTGGAAGTGCACAGTTGTCTAAAGTGTCTTTGTAATTGTGGAGCATTAAGTGTCCATCTCTGGAAACACCTACACTCAGGTGATATTCAGGGGTCCACAAGCTTTTGGCCATATAGTGTATCTTTTCAGTTATTATTTATATGCAACAGGAAATTCCATGTGTTGTTCTTGTGAATAGAGAATAAATTACTCTGTGAACCATTAAAAACTTTGACTAAGTGTCAGGTCATAAAAGTCTTTTGCATAGTTTAGATATCCAGGGTAATGAATGGGTAAACCAGCAAGTCTGTTAGTTTGGTAATCACAAGTGATGTTAGTATAAACAATGAGGCTGTTAAATAGCTTTGGTATCCAAGGTGATATAGGTTTAGACCAACAAGTCTGTTCAATAGCTCAGATATTCAAGGATATGTAGGCATAAGCCAACTAGTCTGTTAGTCTGCTTAGATGTCCAGAGGGAGATTTATTTCAACGTATTTGCATCACTCCACTTTTACATTTCATATGAGGGGCTCAGGTTTATTTGAGGAGTTACAGATCTTTTTAATAGTAATTTCAGATGAAACCAAAAACTGTCATTAAAAAAATCTGAAAATAAGAATATTTATTTGTAAACTATGTGAATACATACTTGGACTAGTTTAGAACCAACAGCAGTCATTGGACATATATCTGAGAGGCGCTGCATGTGTAACATAGCAGAAATAGAAATTCATTGTGGTGCCCACTAAATAAGAAGCAATTGGAAAATCATGCTCCTGTTCACACTATAAAAGATAACTGTAAGGAGTTAAACTACGAAAGGAACTCTTAATTTATTATATACAGTACCTATTTCTGTGTCTGTGCATCTCAGTTCGCTTAATATATTAAATGTGTTCTGTAAAAAGCAACCAATAAGAGGTTTCTCCATTTAAAATGTTAGCGAGGGTTAGCGCACCCAGTTCTGGACTTTTAAATTTTGGTAAAAACAGTTCGGCCATTAGCACCCAGTGGTTCTTTCACCTCTCAGACACTCTAGTTCAAGTGTCAATTCTGATCTACTATCTGTAAAAAATGAGTCAAGGCAACTGGACTTGCTGGACAAGTCCAGCAAGTCCAGTTGCCTTGACTTATTTTTTACAGATATTCCATGACCTGGATGAATGAGAACCTGCACAGACAATTCCCATCTACGTTTCCCTAGTTATCTAACTCCTCCTGCTGTGTTTACAATAATATAAAATACATTTAAACTTAATAGGTGATTAATTCTCCATCTTAACAGCTACTGCGGGTGTGCAGGCCCAGGAACTTACATACAAATTAAATACAGAGATCTCACCACTGCAGACATTAAGAGATAAAAAGGCAGTAAATGACTAAACTTTAAAACATAGATTTTGGGTTGACTCACACTTGAGTGTAATTATAATAGCTTTTATACTTAGTGCAGCTTAGTAAAATGTATTTACACTTGAATTTTATACATGAGCTGACAAAGGTTTGGAATCTATGGTTTTATAGGTACAGTATTGTTATAACAAACAACAGTTAACAATGGCAAACATGAAAATGGATGCAAAAATTAATGGACGTTTTTTCTCGAGGGCTTTTATTCTGATGTGAATGGTAAATGTTAGGACACTCGGGATTCCAGCACAGTGTCAGTGACAGTTTGGCAATTTTACTCAGCTGAGGTAAATCTGTAGTTTCAAGTTGTTTACCTTTGAAACTCAGCAATAAAACCAGACAGTTACGGTATATTACATCTGGTACGTACACACTGACTCCAGGCTTGGTAAGAAATGGCTTCTGTTTCTCGGCAGATGGGAAATCAATTAAGTGGTGTGTCATCTCCCATAAACCTGATTGTTCTAGAGGCATACAAAAGTAATGGCTTAACCTTTGTCATGTAAGATCTCATAAAATTTTTATTGTTGAAGTCATTAATGCTAACAAAAACTCATTAGTGTTCAGATGGCACCATAAGCAGACAAAATAAGCCCCTTCGTATCACTTTTCATAACTAAACCATTACCGTTCTGAGTCATCACCATTAGCCATACTAGGTATCAATGCAGCAGAATGTTTCTTTTTCTTAAAGGGCACTGTTATCTATAATATAAATTATATTGCATGCAAAGCACAACAACTGCTGAATGATATTCCTCAGAAAGTCTGGGCAATAGGTTCTGTGGCTTTCTGGTCTATGAAATTTTTTAACTGTTACTCCTGTACCTAACTTGGATTGCTTGGCTTTTAAAAATGGATTTTACAGAAGAAAAGTTATTTTCTGGTGAAAAACAAAAAAGCAGACCAGGTTTACAAATTAAGGTCTGTAATCTCCGGCTGTACAGGAGATGCATAATTGTTTTTCTAAAATTGGCACATTATGGAACACAGTGGGTTTTATTTACTAAAGCAATAGAAAATGTTCACTCTGTAATGTGTATGTTCACCCTACAAAGTGAGTGTTTGCCTAACTTAATGATTAAGGTGAAGCTGTGTTCACTTCAATCATGTGCAAGCAAGTCTTCTTTTGTTTGTTTTTTCCTCCTATTATATCATTGGATATTCAGGGTAAACACAACCTCACCTTAGCTAAGTGTACACTCACTTTGCAAAGTAAACAGGCTCTACTCGTTTAATAAATCAACACCAATATCTTCTTAGCTCCTTTGACATCTATTCCTCAAAAGAAAATCTCACTTTGGGCTGCTATAAAATATAATATGTAATATCACCTTGCTTACTTGCATTAGAATACATTTGATATTCAGGTACAAAAGAAGACAGTTGAAACATGAAGAAAACAAAAAAGTTTAAAGTAACTTTAGTATTGTGATGGCAACATCTGTACCCCGACTGGATACACTGTCACAGCTAGCTCCCTGTGTGCTGGACCTAATAAGCAGAGGTGGTTATAGCAGAAACCTTACTCTATACATCGGACAGAACCAATGTTAGGGTAAAACAGGAGCTAACAAAATCTCTTCCGCACACCACACTCTCTCAGCCGTATACATTCACCCAGTCACTGGTCAGCAAGCATTTTATAGCTCACAGATCCCAACTGCCCTAGGTAAGATAATATTATTTTAATGAAAAGTACTTTTCTGGGAAATAGCTGTAAAGGTTAACAATAAACGGAATTATTAAAAAGGGTTAACAATAAAGTTTTATCAAGGTGATCATGTCAGCAAGCTCACCAGGGAGTTATCTCTGCAGGGAGCCTATAGTGTGGGGGAAGCAGTCCAGACTTTATGGTGCCAGCAGAACATGGCACAAAAAATATCCGCCCGAGAGTTCCATAAGGTTAGCGATAGGTCCCACTGGCTCGCGATCCAGCCGGTCAGCATATCACTAAAAAGGCTCATAAAGGAGTTCCGTAAAGGAGTTCAGATGTTAGGTCTGGCACAGGATACAGTACTAGCCCCACTGGCAACTTAAAACCTTAATCCAGGCCAGGGTCCATAGCTAGTGGGGGGGAAGGCTGGCCTTCAGTCCCCTCCAAGTGCCCAGGGCACGGAGGCTTCCACAACAAGTATATATTCTCCTCCTCTCCACATAAAGCCCATAGGGCTGCGGTAGCTACCAGAAAGTCTTTACTACAAACAAACAGGATGATCCTTATGTCGTTCTATACCTCTTCATTACCAGACCATTTTTCAGTATTCGGTGCTGTGATGGTTTGACTGACAGTGTAATATCTGTCTATATATACTGCTGTAGAGTAATATCAATTAGTTTGATATTATTTTTTTCTTTTGGTGGTATTTATTCTTTTTTATAAGAAAGGAGAAAAGTTAAAAAATTTTAAACAACTTTCCCTTTTTACAGCAATTCAAAAAAATTGTCTTTCTTTTAAATATAGACCAAAATGTATTCTGGTGGGGTGACATACTCAAACGTGCATATGTAAGAGGGGTGCTCCTCTTGACATCTGCAGACACCTCTGGGCTGAGAATTTGAAATGGATTTCTTAGATGTTTGCTGTTGGTTATCACAGATTCATTGTGTAGTGTTAGTCTCTGCAACCCAGTTGTAGCTCCTGTCTGCCACCCCCCAAGGAAGCACAGTTATGTAGGTGGATAGGCTATTTAAACGGTGTGTGTGCTATTTAAACCAGTGCAGCAGCCTGACTTTTCCACCCTCTCCTTTTCCCATCATCTTCTGTGAATTGTATACACAGGCATTTTTTACATTTGTGTTTGAATGGCCATCACAGCAATCACAAAGCACAAAGCCAATATGATCGGCTGAATTTTGCCTGTGATCTGCACTGTCTAAGGACAGCATGATTACAGGCATTGTGCACATATCCGCTCACAGTACAAACAAAAAAAAAGATATTTTAACCTTAAAGTAAAGCTGTGCACAGATAATGCACAATAAAGTATTCGCAGATTCTGAACAAGCAATAAAAGCACTTTAGGACAAGTCCATATTAATTTCAGTCTCTATAAACATTGTGAAAAAAATGTATTGTCAATGTTCATTGAAATCTTAGCTCTTTCCTCTTAACTTTCTGTTGCACCAGAATCTTGTTAGTCTGTGCAGGGATTTCTAGAAACATACCAATCCTGACTTCAGAGTTTTCGTTGTGATCTTTGAGAAAGATCAACTTTGAAATAAAAGCAGCTGAAGATGGCTTGTTTCTAAAGCTCTTTTACCTCTGGGAGAAGGTTGACTCTAAAACTGCAGTTTGTTTTCATTTTCATTTTGAATGAACCAGCCCCTAACTGTCTGCTTTCTACATGCAGTTTGAAATTGTCCCCTAATATATTGTAGTGTGGAATAATTAATTTGACACCTAGTTTTTTTTTGTTAAGCAGAGACATGTTAATTCCGCATATAATGTGAAAAACCTTCGAGTAAGAAGAATGGTGGATGAGGATCATGAGACTGTGGTAAGGACTGGAAACATATAAACTGCCATTGTAATCATTACAGTGAGAAATTCAATGTTGTATTGCTATAATGAAACTGTCACTAGTGTATGATTAGGAAATATTTTTTAAATTCTGGTTCACCACGAGAATATAAATAGGCATGGATGACAGGTTAGATTATGTAGCAAACAGTATGAAGGCACATACATAAGGTTTACTTTTGATAAAGTAAGTTTTTTAAAGCTGTGTTTCCACATTTGTTAAAAGAGGGAAACACTCAGCTGTAGTTGTCACCTATGATTCCTTTAAATTTCTGTATCTAGCCTTTACTTTAATAACTCGCTTTAGAGCCAGAACATGGGCACAAAAGTGGAGACTGGTAGAGCTGTAAAGGGGAGATTGTGGGGCAACTCCATAATAATGCCCATTGTTCTGGAAAAAGATGTTCCATGAGCTCATATAGGTGTGATGGCCAGATGCCCACATACTTTTGGGCATAAAGTATAGGTAGTCTCAGCTCCTGAAACACTGTGAGCTATTTGGTTACCTGACACCTTCCCCTTTTGCATAAAATAAGGCAGACATTTCAGTTGGAAATCGGAGGACTGTAGGGGTTAATCAGTGTTGGCAAATAAAAACAGTGTTGGGAATAAAAATACCGGCAGATGCAAGAAAATTATTCGAATTGAATTGTCTACCGCTTTTGGAGAAGACACAATTACGAATGGAGGCTTGGAGGAAGAACAAACATTCCTGGACAGGGAGAATTACATTATTTAAAATGGACATTCTTCCAAGATTCCTTTACATATTTCAGACGACCCCGATAAAGATCCCCAGATCATATTTCCATAGACTAAGATCTGTGCTGCTACAATATATCTGGGGTACCTCCGGGGCGCGCCTGAGGTATGATATCTTGGTTAAAAGAAGATCGGAAGGGGGAGGGAGCTTACCACATAATGGAGATTTACTATAGAGCAGCGACTCTGAACAGGTTGATGGACTTAATAAATGGGGTAAGAGAAAAGGCATGGGGCCGTGATTGAGTGGCATTCCAGACAATATAGTGCTTTTCGCCCTCTCTTTTCATGGCTAGATAAGTAATGGTGAAGGGTCAGTTTATCATCCAATCAAGCATAAGTACGAGTAGTTTTTATTGGTTATGACTTATTTTTCACCTGTAATTAAGAAGAAATCAAGAAATTTTAGATATGAAATAGCCATATATGTAGAGGTTATTGATATTATTATGTAATTTATGGAATTGTATGTGAAATTAAACAAATAAAAATGTATTCTTAAAAAAAAAAAAAATCAGTGTTGGCAAGTCTTACTCTGCCTTTACTCTGTGTCTCCTGTGTAAGAATTGTCACTAATGATTTAAAAATGTTATGGAGTGCGCAGGGAATGCTTAGATGTTCATGATAACGAGTTCTGTAGCTCTACTTTAGCCATTAATGCTTCTGAACAGATGGTAACACATCTTTTTATGTTTCCAAAAGCCTTACCCAGGGACGCAGAGAGGAAAGAGAAAAAAGGTATGTAACAGGACAGCATTATAAAGATTCAATAGGAAGTTGGAGTACACAAGAAAGAAGACCAAACGAGAAATAAATGTCACACAGATAAAATGTTTGTATTTGTTTCAGAATCTATATTCAGGAGAAGACGGTCAAACCTCGGAATCCTCCAAAAGAGATAAAGTCAGCTAATATAATATCATTACAATAATTTCATGAGGTTAAAAGAAAATAGATTTTTAATATTTAAAAACAGCAATCTTACTTCAGAAACTAATAAATCATTTAAAGAGTTAGTCCACACAATTGATATTTTAGTTAAAGGTGGACTATGATGAGTCAACCACCTGTACATATGTTTTCAGTTAGTAGAACATTCCCACTTACTTGTCCTGGGGGAGGAGGAGTGCCCTGCATAATGGCCAAAAAAAAAGACCAACCCCTTTGATGATTAATAATGACTAACCCCACTAATGACTGAAGCAGGCGGATGAACCTTGTACCTTAGGACAATAGTTAATATTTTTTTATGACTGTATTATTTATATAGTATTCCATTTTAATAATTTTTGGTTGCTTTTACAAAAGCAGGAAGGAAAGAGGCGCTCAGGACCCCAGAGAGACAAAGTACAAAAGGTACTTGCATACTTTTTCACAACTGCTATATTGCATATTGCCTCTTCATTTTCTGTGTAGTCACAGGACAGAAAATAAGGGGCAAATGCCCCAAAGTGGACACAGCAATACAAAGTTAGAAATTCTAACTTTTCACAGTCCACACAAAACTATAAATAAATTGGCTAAAGTTGGACTTAAGTTCCAGAATAACATGTAAAAGCAAAAAGGTTTTCAATACCTGGTCATGCAAAATTCATAACCAGTGAAAAAGGCTAAAAAAAGTTGTCCCCCACTGCCACTTATATGTCTGAAATTCTGTGGTTTAACTTTCCATATAAAGCCAACCAGAAGTTGATCCCATTTCATACATTTGATAAAGTTATTTGATTGATCATCATACATATTAAGCATGGCACACCAACAATTACATTTTATTCTGGCTGATAAAGATTGAAAACCTTTGGAATAAAGAATGTTAAGTCAGCCCATAGATGGGCAGATGTTATTGACAACTATAAACTACGGTCACTTCAAAACAATAACTAAACTCTTGACGTGAGTTTATGTTCAGAATGTGCACAGTGTAGAGAAAAGAAGAGAACAATCTAAGATCTTTGACTGACCCAGTATGTGGCATTGGTTATTTTCTAATCATATACTGCCCAGTCATTTCTAGGAATGCTTGAAGGTGTTAGATAAGTAAACCAGGCAATATATAGCCAGCCTTATATAGTCAGTAAGGATGTAAAATAGAAACCCCAAGCAGTCCCCTGATTATGTGTGTACTTGGTAAAATAAAAAATAAAAAACTGTTTAGTAGATCATAAGCCTCTTGTATTTTCTATGACAGGGAGAACCAGGGGAACTTGGAGATCCTGGAATTCCTGGGCAGAAGGTAAGCTTATCATTTCAAATCTCTCACCTTTTTACTTCTGAAGAGATCTTACATTTTCTGATTGTATTTCATTAAACTGGCTTGCTCTTAGACTGGTCTCTGGAGCATCTCCCTCCGCTGCAGCAGTCTAAGGTCCCTGAGTCATCGCATTCTATTCACAGTGTATAGGACATGAGTATGCCAAGGGACATATCGCTGCAGCGGAGAAGGAGGCAGGCAGGAGGAAGCGATGTCACAGCTGGCTGGTTCCGAGGATCGGGTGAGTATAACTTTGTTGTTTTTGAACTTAGGCAAAAATGAGCACTAAACGCATAATTAAACCCTCTGGGCTTTTGCATGCATCTACTGCTGGCAAGCAGTAGATACATGAATAAACATTAAAAAAAAGTTACCGAAATAGGTTTAAACTTACCTGTGTCTCCGCCACACGCTCCCGTCCGAAGATCTGAAGCAGTGTGCACCCGCACAGACACCCAGTGGCGGAACTACCAGGGTCGCAGCGGTCGCATATGCGACCGGGCCCTGGCGTTCCGCCACTTGCGGGGGGGCCCAGGAAGGAAGAAGTGGCAGTGGCATAACATACAGGGATTAGATGGGGCGGCTGCCTCGGCCGCCAGACAGTGACAAGCGGGTGGGCCGGGCAGAGAAAACAACCAGCCAGAAATGCAGGCAAATACTGGGGCAGCACAGGACCCAGCAGCAGCCACCTGATACAGAGACCCGCCTCCATGTTCCCGGCCGCTGTCCCCCACGCTGGTATGTTTTTTTACAGCCTCCTGCTCAAGCTATAGAACATGGAATAGAATATGGCTGAAACTGACTATAGTCTATTCCATGTTCTATAATGTCATTGTACTACTAGGAAACAGGAAACTACTAGTTCAGCTGCGACTTGTAGTTCCCTTTTTTAATTACTGTCCTCATGAAAGTACTAGTAATACAATGTCATTATAGAAACATAGAATAGAATATAGTTGAATTCAAAAGTTACTGTACTATAATGGCATTGTATTTTCATGAGGAAAGTAATTAAAATAGCCTTCTATCATACAGGGAACTACAAGTCCCAGCATGCACTCACTGTCCCTGTACAACTCTCACATATCACGCAGGGAACTACTGCAGGGGGCTTGCATGCTGGAACTTGTAGTTCCCTGGGTGATTTATGTGGGGGACGGTGTACAAAGACCATAAGGGCATGCTGGGACATGTAGTTCCCTGGGTGATGTGGAGAGGTGTACAGGGGCAATGAAGGCATGCTGGTTGTAGTTGAACTGCAAGTCCCAGCATGCCTTCATTCTTATACTCCAGGGTCACAGGCACTGGTGTTCTGCTACTTGGGGGGGAAGAGGGCCCAGCCCAGTAACCGCCGAGGCACCGACATTGCCCAGCAGGCCAATGCTCTGTGTGGGGAGGGGGGGCCCTTCATGGTTTCTCGCACCCGGGCCCTGAGGTTTCTAGTTACGCCTCTGCAGATACCGTAGGACAAAGGAGACGCAGGAGTCATAGACCGGCACCAGCGCTGGGGGGACTCCTGAAAACTACAGCAAAGAAGATGATTGGATCAAGAGGCATCATTTAAGTTAAGTCCTTACACTAGCATGGGGGGGGGGGGGGGG